CAGAGGTAAGTCAGAGGTCAGTCAGAGGTAAGTCAGAGGTATATGTAACACTGCTGAGGACTTATAGATAATGAATATTAAAACCTAATGCTTCACAAATCTTCAGAATATTTATTTTAGTAATCCAGAGATCACAGATCTGATATTATTTTTTCCATTACATCTTCAAAGTGATTGTAGAACATAAATCTATTTTCAGTTTTTGTGTAAAAAAGCATAGTAATGTCATAAAAAACAACCAAATACCTTCTTACAGGACACAGGGTTGACCTGCACTGACACAGCAGGGGTACGCTACCCTATATCTAAGCCATCATGATGTATTACACAATATGCAGTATTACAATACCTGAGGTTGACGATGTTTGGGATACAGTTAGCCATCATGGTGAGCGTCTCTCCCGCCAAACCAGTGTTCCACAGACTGTAATCAAAAACATTCTCAGGGTAAAAGCAAAATTTGAACCTTAGTTTATGCCGACATTTCTAATCTGGTAGTCCTACTATTCAGTCAGTGTTATAGGAAATAAAGTGACAAATTTGTCTCAGTTATCTGGCTATCTCGCAGTTCAGCAACTTTTGCTGGAAATGAAAATGGCTTGATTATGGAAATTTAATTTTACACAAGTGTGAAAATGACTTAAATTGTAAATGACTTAATGTACTTTATGCATACATTTTTGATTTTTCAGGTTTTCTGTATATACTACTTTTTTGTTGTCTATGGACTTCAGCAGGTCTAGTATGTGTTCATCATATGGTCTTTATGGTCAATATATACCTAGGGAGATCTAAGGGGAGACAACTTACTTGATTGTGTGCAGTTTCTCCATGACAGGCCAGCACTGAGCAAATGTAGCCATCATTGTCTCATCTATCTTCCACCCTGCAAACAAATCAATATATTTATTTGTTTATAGATTAAACCAGATCAAGGTTGTCCTGATGCATCCCAAAAGTCACTTAGACTTAAAATAATGAAAATTAGAACCGTACATGACGAGTAAAAAGAATCTGGACCTGCTTATGTTGACATTACACAAAATCTACATTGATGCTTTACATTGTATGAGACACACATTTTACCTCGTATAAAGATTTCTGTGACTGTGTCAGGTTTGTCGTAATTTTCCATCTCTACCTGGACTGATGGTTTGAAATATTCAAATTTCTCCTTCAATACAAATGTCTTAGGTGGTTGCTCAACTGGTTCTGTTGATAAAGAATGAAGAAAGTTTGAATATAAGGATATTATTGTTTTAAACATATATAACACTTTAGGTCAATTGCTCTATATCTAATAAGAAAATTAATTACTACAAAAACTAATGCCTTTACCTGAAATGTTCAATCAGTAAATGGACCCTTCAATTAAAAGTGTAAATGAACCCTTCAATTAAAAGTGTAAATGAACACTTTGAACAATTAAAAGTGTAATTTGTACTGTCTTAATTTTTATCAAATCTTCTAATCAGCAGAAAACACTATCTGTTCTTAAACTGTCAATTGAAAAGTTTACATAGTGAAAATGAGTTTACAGAAAGTACAGAACTAAATCTTGTTTTTATCTTAAAATGTCTCTATAGCTATACATGAAATGTTTCTCACTTTCCCTCTAAAATCATTTTCTCAAAATGTCTGTCAGCTTTTCATAAAATGATTCTGTAGCTTTATACGAAACATTTCTGACACTTTATACGAAAATTTTCTGACACTTTATACGAAATATCTCTGACACTTGATAAGAAATATCTCTGAGAAATATCTCTGACACTTTATACGAAATATCTCTGACACTTTATA